CTGCCCTCCCCTGCCCTTCCTGCTAAGACTGGCGGCTGGCCAGGGAGACTGTGCCGCTGGTCCTACCTGGCGGCAGAGACCTTGTCCCAAAGACACATTTCCCTCTGTCCATCCGTCCGTCTGCCGGGAGAGGATAGAGGAGGGTGTACGCTGCGGTAGAGGGACGGGGACGGGGACAGGGACGGGGACGGGGACGGGCCCGCCCCAGGGCAAGCACGTCAGGTGAACAGGCACACGGCTGGTGCATAAAGACAGACCAGCTGCACCGAGGTTTGAGCAAAGGGTGTCTGAAAAGACTTCCCCCTGGTGTCCCCGCAGCGACCAGACCCCCCTGTGCCGATTGGGGCGCCTTCTCTGCCCCGTGGCGGGTTCTTATTCTAGTCTCACTGCGGCCACTTGATGCTCCAAACCTCTGCTTCCTGGAGGCTACAGGTGGCCAGTCCACAGAGCCTGGGCACAGGCAGCTGTGTGAGCGCCCCCCCGGGTGTCGGAGGGCGCTGTGGGTGTGGGGGCACCTGTGGGTGTGAGCGCCCCCATGGGTGTGGGGTCCCCTGGGTGTGGGGACCCTGTGAGTGTGAGCACCCCTGTGAGTGTGGGGACCCCTGTGGGTGCGGGGGGTCCTGTGGGTGTGAGCGCCCCCATGGGTGTGGGGGCCCCGTGGGTGTGAGCACCCCTGTGGGTGTGGGGACCCCTGTGGGTGCGGGGGGTCCTGTGGGTGCGGGGGGTCCTGTGGGTGTCCAGGTGACCAGGGCTGTGGGAACGTCCCTGAGCAGCGGGAGGAGCCGCTTGGAGGGACAGCCCGGCCGACTCAGTGTCCCGGTAGCCTTGTCCCTGCCACCGTCCAGCCCTGGCTCCGGCCACCTCAGCCGCACCTGCCTTGTCCAGGACGCGGATCCTTGGCCTCATGGAGTCCCCTGGGGAAGTGTGTGCCCTGCCCTTGGGTAGCAGTGTCTCCTGCTCTCAGGGGGGCGGTTGCTTGTGAAGGGCCCGCCTACGTGGTGCCCTGACGGTGGGTCTGACTGCTCTTCAGGTGCTGAGTGGCCATGGACGTGGTGGGAGAACACTTTTGGATAAACCGCTGCCCGAGGAGAACTGGGAATAAACCTGGCCCCACGTAGGCGGTGGCTCCTGCCCGCATGGGTGGGGTCGCTGCGGGGCAAGGGGCCCTGAGGGAAGGGGCGGGTGGGGGGCGTGCACCCTGCGATCCCATAGCACTGGGACCCCCTCGCTGAAAGCCGTGTCCCCGGCTGCTGTGGGAAGGCTGGGCCAGGGTTTCGTGTTCCTGGGGTCCCCCAGCACCGCCCCTGCCCAGGCCTCAGGAGCTTTCGGAATAGGAGGAGCCTGGGTCCGAGGCCAAGGCCACTAGTGCCGAGTTCCTATAGGACCCGGGGTTCACGGAATTAGTATGTTAACAAACTGAAGGGTGTGTTTCCAGTCCAGCCGTGGGGCCGTGGCAGCTGGACAGGGCCAAGGGCGTGCGGTTGGTGCAGAAGGCCTGGTCTGAGCCCCATGCCCCTCGCTGAGGGACCGGGGCTGAGGGACCGGGAAGGCGAGTGCCTCTTCCACCCTGACTTCCTCTCCCTGTCCTGGCTGGACACACTGATTGGCAGAGGCCTGAGTTAACAGACCTCCTTCTTCTCAAATAAAAATTGGTTCTGAAAACAGGAAGGAGAGAACGTTACAATCACAGACATTAGTGACGTGGACAGCAAACCCGTTAGAAAGCAACCAGCCGCATGAAGCAAGGCCAGCGAGGTGCCCGCTTGCTCAGGATGCGCCTGAGTGGGGAGAGGGCTGGCCTCTCTCTGGTCCGGGGCGGAAGCGGAAGGACTGCCCGGAGCCCCACCAGGTCCCTGGGGGAAGAGGGGATGGGAACGTGGCCCCGGCCCCTTCATGGCCTCGCTTTCCTGACAGACCTGCCTGGGAAGGTTTTGGGGGGCGGTCCCCCCGCCCCCGCCCTGGTTGCTCTTCTGCTTGAAAGAGAGGGTTTATTGCTGACTCACGGGTCTCCAAGGGCTCAGGTGTAAAAACCTCTGGGTATAAATAAACGAAAGGCCCTTGTTTTGTTCCAGGGCCTCGTACAGGTCCCCCCGCCCCCCTGTAAATCCCAGCAGGAGCCCACACCCACTCCCGGCCCCCAGAGGCCCCCCACTGTGGTTCCCGCCCAGCCATGCTCTAGGCACGGTATTTCCCAAGTACGGAGGGAGGGAGGGTCACCGGCTCTTTCCTCCCCTCGCTGGCCTTGCTTCATGCGGCTGGTTGCTTTCCTCCCCTCCGGTGACTGCTTGCTGCAGGACAGGAACCCAGAACCCCACGTCCGAGGATGTGCTTAACAAGGCATCTGTGTGACCCCCCCACCCAGGGACCTCGGGATGGAGACGACACCCCGAGAGCCAAGGCCTGCGGACGCGTCCTTCCGAGTCCCCCCACTGAGTCGGCCGGGCTGTCCCAATAGAACTTTTCTTGTTTTGAGGCAAACCATTCAGGGACCCAATCTTCCACTTCTTTGTACCATTTGAAGTGCTGCTCAGAAAGTGCGTGTGCCATCGATCGGAACAAGTGGGAATCTGAGGGAGCAAGGTCTGGTGAATACAGCGGGTGGATTTATACTTCCCAGGCAAGATCTTTTAACGTGTCCTTCACTGGGTTTGAAGTGTGTGGTGGTGTGTCATCATGAAGCAAATTACTTTGCTGTGTCTTCTGGCCCATTCTGGTGGTTTTATGATAAAAGCGTGGTTCAAATTGATTACTTGTTGTCGGTGGCCATCAGTATTAATGGTCTCACCTGGTTTGAGAAGCTCATAATACACCACATCTTCCTGATCCCACCAAACGCAGAGCATTGTCTTCTTTCCAAAGCGATTTGGCCTTGCAGTCAATGTTGATGGTTGACGTGGATCAACCCATGATTTTGTGCATTTGGGATTCTCAAAATCCACTTTTCATCGTGTCACAATTCGATGCAAAAAAGACTTTCTTTTGTGCCGTTGAAGCAACATTTTACTGACGACTTTTCGGTTTTCCATTTGTCTTTCGTTCCGTTTATGTGGCACCCATTTTCCTTCCTTTAAAGTCTTTCCCATTGCTTGTAAACGACTGGAAATTGTTTGCTGAGCAACGTTTAATCTTTCTGTGAGTTGTTTTTGACTTTGACACTCATCTTCGTTCAAAAATGTTTGTAATTGTTGGCCTTCAAACTTTTTCGGTTGACCTGGACGTTCTTTGTCTTTCACATCGAAATCATCACCTTTAAAGCATTTAAACCAGCGTTCACAAGTATCTTGAGATGGAGCATGTTCACCATAAGCTTCCCGAAGTATTCAGTAGCACTTTTCTTCAAAATAAAGTAATGAATTAAAACTTCCCGCAAATGCTCTTTTTTTGGCACAGAATTCAACATTTTTAAATGTAAAAATATCTATGATGTTAACACCTTCAGCAAATTTGACATATGAAGTTTTGAAGCTTGTTGTCAATACAACAAAATAGCATACATATCAAATCGCATGTATATCAACATATGTGCAACTCCATCTATTGAAAAAAATCCGCATTATTAACCGGTACACCTGGTATGTCTACTCTTTTTCCCCAAAGGTGTGTGTTATATTTCTTAACAGACAAACATACCCGCTCCCTTCTTGCGTGTATCTACTTTCTATTCTGTTCCGTTGATCTATTCCCTAACCTCGTGCCAATATCTCACAGTCTCACTTACTGTAGCCGTATAATAATTCTTTTCCTTTTCAAAGAAGAGTTTATTGATTTTCAGAGAGAGAGGAAGGGAGATGGAGAGCGCAAAACATCTATGTGAGAGCGTAACATCCATCGGCTGCCTCCTGCACGCCCCCTGCTGGGGATCCAGCCTGCAACCCGGGCATGGGGGACCCCGGGCATGAGGGACCCCGGGTAGGGGGGACCCTGGGCATGTGGGACCCGGGCATGGGGGAACCCTGGGCAAGGGGGACCCCGGGCTCGCTCCGAGGCCACCACACTGGGGGATGAGGGGGGCCGATGAGGGGGCCGTTGCTGCGGCCACGCCTCCACCCAGGCTCTCTGTGTGCTCTGCACTTCGAGGGCGAGTGTGAGAAATGAGCGCCATTCCTCACCTACGTAGGAGAATTTTCTCATCAGGAGGGACAGCCAGACAGCGAGGAGGGGAGGGACATTCCTGGGGAGTGACTGCTGGAGGGGGGCCGGGAAACAGCAGGTGGTGTGTGCTCAGGGCGAGGGCACACGGTGCTGAGAGTGGCACGTCCTCTCCGCAGTATCTCGGGTTTATTTGGACCCGGAGGGCTTGCCGCGCTGCCGTGGCTGACGGCTGGCTCCTTCGCAAGGCGTCTCTTGTACGACACACCTGCATCCGAGGGGCCTGTTTTCAACATTTCCTTTCACTTCAGGGCAGACTCTTGAGGACGTGGGCAGCCTCAAGCATCGATGCCCAGAACAGCACGTTGTGAGCTAGGACTGTTTCTGGGATGATTTGATGTTGTTCAGAATATCGACATGAGATTAAAGAAAGGACACACCGTTATTGTAGATCTAGAAACGGCCTCGCCTGCCTCTTCCCAAGAATCCGACCCAGTGGGGAGCGTTCTGAGCAGGAAGGCATCGCACTGGAGGGGCTTGCGTTGTAAGCACTCGTCGCACATGGGTTCTCCCTGGCGATGTTCAGTTTACTGTGGACCAAGCAGTACCAGAAAGCAGAGGTGTTGTGGTGTTGCTTGGTCACGTGCTCCAGTTTTGGGTTTTGAAGATGTGCTGCTGCCCGTGCAGAAGTAGCGCCATGAAATGTCGTAGCGCAGGGACCCGGTCCTCACGCCTGGGCCCATGCGCCTCGCTCCGTTTCTGACCGGCGCCCTGGGGTGAGCGGCCCGGGTGCGCTCGTATAGGCCCATCGTTTTGTGATTATTGGCTCGTGCTTTCTACTTTGGTCGGAATTACCTTCTTTCCGTAGCAGGAATAGTTCTCCCTCCCCGACTCCTCGATTCCTGTGTTTCTCGGGGTTGTGCGCCCCTCGCTCTCTGCCCCGCTCACGGACAGGGGGGCGGGCGCAAGTTCCCCGCCAGCACAGACCTGGGCACGGGTGTGAATATTTGGCCCCAGATTAGGGCGATGACGGGGTTTTTAGAGAAAACATGGTGAGAGAGAGCTCCTTGAAGTGGAATTTTTGTTTAATGAAGCCCCATGACTCTTAACTCGCTGTGCCTGGCAGCTCCGCGTCTGGGCGCGGGGAGCGGGCGGGGTGGGGTGGACCAGGGCTGTCAGGGAGGCGGGTGATGGATGGCTCCGCTGATTGCGGTCCCGACGGCGGGAACATTCCCTCCCCGTGAGGCAAACAGCCCGTGTGTGTGCTCAGATGCCTGGCCGTCGAAGGTAAACAGGCGGCCCGGGCTCCCGGGCAAACAGTGGCTCAGCGGCCACGAAGGCGAGGGGTGCGGGGTGTGGTTTGATGGCGGCCCCTTGTCTGCCCCCTCGCTCGCCCCCTCGTTCCTGAGGCTTTTCCAGGCAAAAGGAAAACCTTGTGATTCCGAATCGACGGGATGAGGAGGTGGAGACGCAGAAGGAGGGAGATGAGGGAGTCTGTGGCGTGGAGGGAGGGCCCCCAGCACCCGGGGCCACGCCTCTGCTGTGTGGTTTTGGGGTCACTGGCCAGTATGAGCGACGGGTGTGAAGCCCTAGGACAGTGATGGCGAACCTTTTGAGCTCGGCGTGTCAGCATTTTGAAAAACCCTAACTTAACTCTGGTGCCGTGTCACATACAGAAATTTTTTGATATTTGCAACCATAGTAAAACAAAGACTTATATTTTTGATATTTATTTTATATATTTAAATGCCATTTAACAAAGAAAAATCAACCAAAAAAATGAGTTCACGTGTCACCTCTGACACGCGTGTCATAGGCTCGCCATCACTGTTAGAGGCTGCCCACATTCCTTGCCACATGGCCCCTTCCACCTTCAAGCAAACAGCACCGAATCAAATCCTTCTTGTGCTTGGATTTCTGACTTCTCTGGCTGTGATCTCTCTCTCTCTCTCTCTCTCTCTCTATATATATATATATATATATATAAATTGATG